AACAGTTTTGTTTGTTGCTTTAGCATGTTGTTCACTTGTGAGTGGTTGTAAATTTGGTTGCCCTTCATCAACATTAACTAATTCCATTGGTAAAAAATATGATTGATTTTTATCATCTGGATCATATAATTCAACAACAGGTAAATGTGTATAACATAAACGATAATTCCATGTATCACGAAAGAAATCAACAACTGTAATTTGTTCACTTTCATTTTTAGTATATTTATGTTCATTTGCTGGACGACCAAACGATTTTAAACGATATCGACGAGCTTTCTCTGTATATGGTATTACAAACCAAAGAGATTTTAAGATTTTTCGAATAAGTAATGGATGATCTTTTGATGGAATACCTACAACATAAAACATCAATATTTTCATAAAATAGTTCAAATAAAAGAGATCGACTGCAACTAAGGAAAATTCTATTCAAGAGAATAGTATTATTACGATTTTAGTTGTTATCGGAAACTATTGATTGAAAGTATATATTACAAAACCAACGGATTTTTAGTTATCTCATAAGATTCCAACATTTTTAATGTCCTGCGAAGCAGGAGCATTTATGTAGCGTTTCTCGCTTTTTTTTTAATTTTTATTTTACTTTCTCGACGTACGCATCAAAGTTGTTATTTTGTGGTACAATGATCTCGAGAACGGAAAAGTGATAAAACCGTCGTTCAAAAAGGAGTCGAAAATACCAAGATCGAAATAGTACCTTTTTTTGTCTGATCGATCATAGGGGTTTTCCTTTTTTCATAAATGAATTCCAAAATAGATGATTTTGAAAGTATTTGCTTGAAGATAATTAAAAATATATAGGTAATAAATCATCCAGATAAGAATGATCAATCAAAATCGTTCGAATATAAAAAAGAGATTAATAGGGTTCAATAGAGTTCGTGATTAAAAAGATGGTCTCTAAACCTTAATAGAGGCATCATAGTTATTTCATTTCATATGACTACCACAACTAATTAAATAAATAAATAAATAAAACTTTTCTGAGTGGCGTTTTTGAAAGATTAAATTCAAGAATTTTTCTTATCATGTGAAAATAATTTAGTCATGTTTTCGGATATGCGTTCATCAAGTCCTCGATCAGCATCAGTAACAACTCGTTCAACAATAAATCAATCACCATCTAGGAGTAAAGAAACATTTATATAATCACAAAATGAACAAAGTAAATTTTTACTCTATTGTGTCATAGAAAATATTTTTGTATTGTTTTAGAAACTTTAGATGATGTTGACAATAACGGGTAAGATTGTTTTATTTCTTGTCAGTTGAAAAAGAAATCTAATCTTACGAGAGAATATTCGCAACCGATACGCGTCGTTTGCGTTCATTTTTTTTCAACAACAACATCCTCAATTACCAATAACATCTGAAAATTTGTCGGAATACTACTTGGTTAATGGTCCATGGTTATTAACTTTAAGTCATTTCCGTCATGAACTTATTGATATCAAGAAAAAGTGAGAATTTAAAAAAAAATGACTATCTTCTTTTTGCTAATATTTCTTTAGTAGTTTGTTATGCATTTCCTTTGTATATAGTTTAAACCGATGATCATAATTCTATGTTAATAATCGAGAATCTTATAAATTTTACAATTCAAATATTTAAATCGTATATCACTTTGTTAAAGCAATATTAACAAAAAGTTTCATGAATTTTTTCTCATTTCAATAAAACAGTTAACATCTAAATTCTCTTTATCAACATACATAACAAAAATAAATACAGTAGATTATAATATACAAATGATATATAGAAACATTTTAAACAATTCTGTAGATTAATAACAAAAAATAAAAAATTTTTGTTCAACCATTACACTTAACTCTCGATTCGATATGAATATCTTTCCTAATCTTCATAACAAGATTCCGTTTACGTGTAGAGACTATGAAAAAAAAACTTTTTATAAAGAGTTACTCTCGGCATAATCAGAAAAAATGACTATCGAAAGATACCATAGCGTCATTTTTCAACGCAATGCGCAAAAGAACTTTGAAGATGTTCTTTAACAAAGGGTTCGAATGAATAGATCGTATAAAGCACATTCAGAGTTTTCATCAAATATCCATTTTTTTGAAATATTCGAAATTTCGGGCTTCCCAGGGCATTTCGTATTCGAGAGAATCTCGAATACCATCTAGTTTTCTACAGAATTGATCTCACTTGTTCAAGTATCTTGTCATAGGAATGTATTTCTGATATTAATTTTAAAAAAAATTGTTTTTCATATAAAACTCACCATGTTTTCGAATATTATAATTTAAATAACAAGTAATAAATTGAACTAAATTGTAATTTTGATAAAAACAACCAAATTTATTATTAATATTCAACGTTGGACCACATTCACCAAGTACAATTCCTTGATAAAATCCTAATGCTATTCCTGTTCCACAGCCTAAAACAAAAAATTCAAGTCGTTTTTTTTTTTTGTTTCTACCAATATCATCCAATCGTTGAGGTTTCGGAAAGAATTGACTTTCAATGGTAATCATATTAGATATTTGGGTTTGTTTAAATAAAGTTTCAAGTATTCTAACTGGATCATGTGGTCGTACTAATATTCTTTTTTGAATAAAATCAAAAATACTTTGTAATTCATAAGTTTTAACAAGATTAACAATTAAAAATCGACATTTATTTTTTTGTCCTGTTATTTCATGACTGATTTCACATTGATATTTTTTTTTAAATTTTAATGTTAAATCTTCTTTTGCATATAAATATTTTTCATCATCATACCAAACAAATGGAAAATGTTCTTGTTGAATGATTGCTTTAAGAACTTGCAAACGTTCATCTCTGTTACATGAATGCCATGAATGCCATGAACCATCAAGCATTAAAATTTCAACTTTAACATCAAATTGATAGAAAACTGTTCCGTTTGATCGTTCAGAAAACTTGATTGGAAAATGATTTGTATAAACGTCAATTCGTTGACCAACACATTTATATGAATCATTATCTCCGTCAGAATCACCTATTAAGTAAATATTTGAATATATATTTAATTAATTAAAAGATATCTATACATACCTTTTGAATCGTCTCGATTTTTATTCACTGACATTATTCGACAATATGAAGTTATTTGTTTTCGAACTAAAAGTAAACCAAAAAATATTTATTGAAAAAATGTATTCATCTATCTCATAGATTAGAAGAATAGAAGTGTATAGTCGCTCGTCTATCGATTGAAATGAACGACTATTTATCTATCTGACCATTAAGAACATTCAAGAGGAACAAATGAATAAAAACAAATACATGTATATAGAAAAAAATTCAGAGAAATTCGGCAACATCGAACAGTACTAAGCATGACCTTCTGTCGATGTATGTACGATAGAAAATGTTAGCTCTAATATGTATAGAACGTAAGGACAAGCAGTGTCACTAATGTTATGTGACAGAACGAAGAAAAAGATGCCTTTCGTGGGACTCGAATCCACACCTTCTGCTATCCAGGCAGATATTCTAACTCAGTTAGAGGGTGGGTGTGGGTGTGGTGTGGGGTGTGGGTGCGGGTGTGGGTGGGTGTGGGTGTGGATGGGGGTGCGTGTGGGGGGGGGGGGGGGGGGGA